TGAGTATGATTGATTAATCACTCATCAATAATCAATCAATCAGTAAATGACGTCCGTCGTTTTAAACATAAAGTATAAAAATTAAATCCTTTCCGAGCTACTAGGGCTCATAAGGCTGGAGCTTATCCCCAGTTTCTGTAGTGTGAAGTAGATGAGAGTTGTACTCCCCCTTGATGGGACACTAGTCCGTCGCAGGTTAGTCGCCAGCAGTTTGCTGTTACCAAATGATACAGCTGGCTGGACTGAAGCAATGTAGATAAAGTGCCTTGCCCAAGGACACAAGCGAATCTGCACAGCGGAGACTCAAAACCCCGGCCTTACGATTGAAAGCCCGAACCTCAACCACTGCACCAAACTGCCGATACATATACACAAGGAATAGCGGAAATAAAAACCATATCAAAGTTGATTCTTTTGTCAAAAGATACCACTTCATCGACATTTTTTTAACCACAAAATAAATTTAAATGACATATATAAAATGAAATTAATATAACTTTGAATTAACTCATATATAACCACATAACTTATCAAATCTTGATTTGATAAATTATATGGCTATAATTAAAAGAATCAATGATTTATTTAACTACAATAATTTATATACTTGCTGCCAGAAATATATAGGTTTATTGGAAGACTATTACACACATTTAATTAACAAGGAAATGTTATATTTTTCACCTGAAAGCCAAACACATTGAAGTACTCAAAACTAAAACTTTTGAGTTGTCATACCTGAAGTACAGATGTTTTGAATACTATAATAGTAATAATATTTATTTGGACTTTTTAGATCAGTGGCATACATTAAAAAAAACAAAAGGACGTCCGAAACACAAAGCTTAAGACAAATGACTACTGATACATCAAATTACAACTGAAACTTAAAACTAACTCAAAACAACTTAAATTAATCACTTTCTCCATCCTCCCTCCTTCCTTGAAAATTCAAAGATTATCCCTCCTCACAAATAGAACTAAACAAAACTTTACCACTTATTTTCTGAAACAGTATTCTAAGTACCCTTCTTCCGTTCCCAAACAATGCATTTTACCCTTGATTAATCAATCATACTCAAAAAGAAATAATACAAATATTCAGTCAGATGTTTTGAATACTATAATAGTAATAATATTTATTTGGACTTTTTAGATCAGTGGCACACATTAAAAAAAACAAAAGGACGTCCGAAACACAAAGCTTAAGACAAATGACTACTGATACATCAAATTACAACTGAAACTTAAAACTAACTCAAAAAAACTTAAATTAATCACTTTCTCCATCCTTCCTCCTTCCTTGAAAATTCAAAGATTATCCCTCCTCACAAATAGAACTAAACAAAACTTTACCACTTATTTTCTGAAACAGTATTCTAAGTACCCTTCTTCCGTTCCCAAACAATGCATTTTACCCTTCCCTTTAAAACTTTAGCATAAAAAATAACATCAAAACAGTAATGCAGGAAAGATAACTAAAATAAAATTGAAAAACAGATGAACTGTATTATAGTGAGCATGGAATTCAAAATCTCACTTCAGAATTTCCATGCTCTTTTGGGATACCATTGGCAAAATTTATCAAAGATATTTTCATACTTTCTTCAAAAGTAACAACAATGAATGTGATGTATTTTTAGGTCATCGTTTATATTAATAAATTTATTATATAATTCTATATTGTCAAGTAATTGTATTTTGCAATTTGGAAATATCATTACCCGAATGGTCCACTGATTAATCTCAGATAAGAAAGTATAATACATACTGTACTCCATCGTGTTGTCATTAGTGTGTATATTTTGCAGTGCTGGGCAGACTAAGAGGAAATTCTAATCTGAATTAAAATTGCATTGGGTACATTTTCCATTATTATTTGTGGACCATATTATGAGTGGTAGAGAAATTAATCTGAGTTTAAATTGTAATGCAACACCTTCAAAGTCTGTTTTATCAATAAGGTATGTTCTAATACAGGATGAGGCATTAAGGATGCATAAATTGATTAATCCAAATGTCATCAATTTAAAAAAAAATGAACATTTGAGAATAAGAAAATTCCTCGTTAGTAAGCAGTGCATTGAATCTCTTTGTACGCCGCCCGTGTGTCTGAAAATCTGATTTTTTAGTTATTTCCGATGTAGTCGCAGCGGGAGTCGCAGGCCACCATCAGTGGTATACATCTAGCACAGCAATTAACTGATCTCCTTACCATTGAAAGGGATCACATGCTAAGACCCATGCCTCCGAAAACGTTGTTTGTGATCAAATAGATCACAAACAACGTTTGCAATATAGATAGATTTTGCAATATACTAAGTCAAATTATATTTACATTATATCAAAAAACGTTTATTAATTGAATTTCTGTGAATTTCACGTGAAACACTTTTTTTATGCCGAATTTCACCGCGAATTTCGACTTGTTATTCCATAAAAACATGTAAGGCTAAACCATTGCCTACACAGTAAAGGTTTTACTTGACAACTCGCGATATTACTGTAATTTATTTATTTATTCAACTGAACATACACTTTTGTTTCAGCGGCACAAACAAATTTGGTGCGTTCAGTGTATAAAAGAGAGAAAGAAAAACAACTAAAAATAAGTAATTGTAAAAAAAAAAGACAATAGAAAATTATTCAAACGACCAACAAGTGTCCAAACGATTCACCGTCTAGTCTAAAAACATATTTTGTTAATATTCCAAATAAATTTAATATAAAAATCCTAATCAGCATTATTGTTGATTTGTTCATATGGATCTTTAATGTGTGCAGGTGGTTCCATGTAACCATTTTCTCCAACTTTAATGGGTTCCATATAACCATCTTCTCCAACATTAATTGGTTCCATATAACAATGTCATTGGTTGTAGTCCTTCACATGTAAGTGTGTGTGTGTGTGTGTGTGGACATCTTTAGGAAAAGTTTTCAGACATTTTGTTTTACTAACGTGACATGCCTAATGGTACACGACATTTTGTTTTACTAACGTGACATGCCTAATGGTACACTTGGGATTAGTTTTCAAAATAGCCATCCATCACTTTATTCCCATTGACAGACTGGCCCACCTTGCCCCTGTGGAAAATATCAATGTGCCAGATAAAAAGGGAAAAAAAAGAAAAAAGAAATCCAGTCAAGATCGCATAAAATTTTATCGTATGTCTACACGAGTGTATATAGGATAGTTATAGTGCTTTATACACTGAAAGTTGAAGATTAAAATTATTTCTATTGATTTTATGATGATGTTTCAATAAAACGAAGATGACAAAATGGAAATTACATTAGACAAGGGCCTGTCTGTGCTAGGCCGGCTTTGAATTGGGTAGGCAGTAGGCCATCCCAACTATCGATAAATAAAAGGCAAAATATGTTTAACATCCAATTTTTTAATCTTCACTTGGTAGAGCATTCCGAAAAAGCGAAATAAAACTCTCTCTGTTTTTTTTCTCACCTACCCTAAGCCTACCTTTTAACGTTTAGGAGATTTTCGGCAGCATTTATAACATGAGCCTCAAAATGTAGTATGCGAGTACGAACGTTGTTCGTGGTTCTTCTTGCAAGAATGTGTGAATTGCAGTGGCTAAAGATAAGGCTACCATATTAGTTGTAATTTGGGAATCATGTACGTACAGTATGTCACCGGCGTTCACTGTATCTCGTTCAGTCGTATCTGTAGACAGAGAACGAACTACCATGTTCATTGCGGATTTCCCCAAAAAAAGACATAATTTATATGAAGTTTACACGAACGATAATAATATAAATTTGTCCTGTATTTTTTTATTTGGTTGCTTTGGTTGATAATATGAACCAACTAGGCCTAGTAGAATTGCCTCGAAAATAAGACCGTGGTCAAGCTACAGATGTTACTGCAATCAACATGTGGCAAGTCAACAAAAAGTTCTATTGGATGAGAGCCTTGCCAATCCGGTCATTTGTCGGTGTTAGCTTGCGGGGTGAAGCGCTTCTTTTCTATCAGGTGACCCCGCTCATACGGTCTGTGTCAGCCTCATAACAAGCGCTTGTTCGATCGATATCAAGAGTGTAACTTACACCGTCGGAACAACATATACAGTAAACTAGTGCAAACAGTACTAACATATAGTAAAGTATTTTGTTTATTGTTCATTTAGTAAATATTAATTTACAAATATTGTATCTGTAAAATTTTGTCATATATTTTTTTTTGTACACAGAAATTTTGACCAAAACTTTACTTCATAAGTTTTGTTAATCACTAATAAAGAGTCGAAGTGATCCAAGGAAAGAATTTGTATTAAAATACTAACAGTAACACGTAACACTGTGTATACAAAGGGGTGGGGGAGGGGGAGGGAAGCTGCACCTTTCTGGATACGAGACATAGTAGTATCCTTATCTATTCATTAATAAGAATAAAATTTTCAATCTTGTAATCAATTTTATATAAACTTTGCTAAAAAGGTACATTTTCTTCATAAAAAGGTTTCTTCTAAGAATGGAATGACCTGTTCGAAGCACGAACTCCTGCAGACCAAACCCAGTACATTACGATTTTTAATCGTGCGAGAAATCCATTCATGACGAACACACATATTTAACACTTGTTATTTATGATTTTCCTAATCACTGTAGTTGCATCTTAGTTAAGTTGCTTTTCTACTTGTTACCTGTTTGTTTATACCATTTGTACCATCTTGTTATGGTAATACTGTACCATGCTGTAAATGGTGGATTTGTTTCTATTTACTTATTTATTTATTTATTTCATTTCATTTTAATATATACAACAATATGTATTTATGGCAAAAATGCAGATAGGATTTATACCAGACAATTTAACAGTTTATACACTTTTTTAAAATTTTAATTTACAGTACAATTGCAAGGTAATAACTAATTGTATAGATTATTATGAAGCTATAATAAATTCAAAAACATTTTTGTCATGTTTTTTAGTCTAAAAACATATTGTTAACATTCCAAATAAATTTAATCTAAAAATCTTAATCAGCATTATTATTGATTTGTTCATATGGATCTTGAATGTGTGCAGGTGGTTCCATATAACCATCTTCTCCAACTTTAATTGGTTCCATATAACCGTCTTCTCCAACTTCTTGTTTAAATATTCCAACTCCTTTCTGTTGTTTACTAGATACTTGACTTAATATGCAAGTTGCATATTGTTTTGTACCTGCTTCAGTTTTATTTGTCTTTTTTCTGTTCTTGGTGAGTATGTAACATAAAAATGCTACATTGGCCAGTATGCTTATGGCTCCAATGACAGATAATATCGCAATAATTGTATCTTTGTCTGTCAGTAACGCAAAGTAACTGTTACCAGATTCGTCGTTGGAGTTTGTTGACATGATTGACAGCATCTCTGTAGTTTCTACCACACCCACAGTTGACTGATTATAAGTAAATGAGAAGTATGTATTACCCTTACCTGACATTATTGGAGTACCTATGCATTGCTGTGTTGTTGCTGATCCTGAGCTTGTAGCTACGCAGGTGAAATTTTCGTCTTGATATAAAGACGCAGTATGTACCGTATATTTTACTTTACAAAGCGAACATTTAAAACCACCACCAGTATAGTAACATTGATGTTCTGCAGCCAGTACATTGCCATCTTTGTCAATCCATTGTAATGTTATTGGTGGATATCCTGAATAACATGAACAAATCAATCTCCTATATTCTTGTTTAATTCCGTAGTCATAACAGTAAACTTGAGAAATGATATTCTTTAGAATCAGGTAAGAATAATCTCTATCTGCACTAGTACCAGCAATAATTAACTGACAATAATATATCCCTATGTCATCTTCTTCAGTTCTATGTACTGTCAAATTTTGTGTAATGCTGTTGCTTGCTATGGATGACATACCATGGAGACTATACTTATCTTTATCAAAGACTGTATCATTATGAGCAAGTTTTGTTTCGTCATATCCGTAGAAGAAAGTACACCTCCTTCTTTTCCATGTTATCCAATATTTAGATATTTCTGATGCTGGATCCAGGTCTACATTGCAGGTGAATGTAACAGATTCTGCCCCAACATCAGTAATAATATGATTAGGAGAAACAACCACATTTTGTGGTGAAACTTTGAGAATGGCAACTGTTGCTATGATTAATCCGATATGGAAGTATGACATATTGAACTAAAAGGGAAACAAAGTACTAAATTGAAAAACCCAATTTGCTAGCATCTGATTAAGTCTGCTTATTTTAATTGAGCATATGATCCACAGATAATATATTTATTTTTAATGGAATTCTTAGCATATATTTCTCAGAAATTGATGTGTTGTGACTGAAATGTGGGAGCAAAAATATGGGCTGCGTATGAGGTGCCAAGTGTAAATTTATTATTCAACACAATTATTTATATATATAATTCATTATTTAATATATAATTGAATAGATCACCCATTATTTATATATAATGCATTTATATCTAAAATTTTATATGTAAATAATTGCGTTAACATTTTCATTATTTATAATTAGTGTACTGATTTTATTATATATAAATAATGAAAGGGTAACCAAACATTATTTATATGTAATAAGGTTACTGGTTTCATTATATATAAATAAGGAAAGGGTAACACTTCATTATATATAAATAATTAAAAGTAACTTACAATTATTTATATATAATAAGTTCACTGATTCCATAATATATAAATAATGAAAAGTAACTTACAATTATTTATATATAATAAGTTCACTGATTTCATTATATATAAATACAGCAGATTATTGAATCTGCTGTACTGCAAATCTCAAAAATCAGTTAAGACCAGGCCTCGAATTTTACCGCGACCAGCGCGGCCATTGCCGACGGTACCCTCCCAGTTAGCCTTGGTGCCCCTGAAAATGAAGCACGACGACGGCCACTACTTGCCTGCCCTTTTGAAGCCTTGGCCTCGGTGCCCTCACGATGCTTAATATAGATCGTTTGACACGTAAAATAAATCTAAGTAAGAACGTTTAAATCTTGAAAGAAAACACGAAAGCCAAAAACGTAGGTCGCCTGGTTGCAGTGACAGAACAGAACATGAGAGAATTCCCATATGTGTTGATACGAACTGTTTTTGCGGTTACCGTTATGTGCACATGAGTCTCACTCTAGCGGTTAACTGGTTCATTTCGTTGAGGATTATTTTCATTTGACTGGTTCGTTAAATACAGTAGACTTCGTTGACAATGAAAATTAACGTAAACCAGAGTGCGTTAATCAACGTTAAGTTATCCATGTGACCAAAGAGAAACATGGCCGATTGGTGATTTTTTATTAACAGCATTTGCGTTAATATAACTTAGATTAAATTTCATAAAATAAACATAATGTTTACCCACATGGAGTCAAAAAATTATTGTAGGCAAACAGAATAAAAAAAAACTGGATGAAAATATTTTTTTTAACAAAAAACCCATACAACCACAAGTTAAAGCAATCTTGATTATGCAACGTGTATCGCGGTAACTATACAGCCATTTTGTTTTGTCGAGTATTTACAAGTTTTCTATTCGACTGGTCGTCTTCGTTGAGTAGGATGTTACCGCTGCGCAGGTGGGCGTGGTTTAACGACGAACGACCAGTCGAATACGGCCTTTGTATAGTTTTAAATATGTGCTTGCTGCACAGCTAACTTTGGGCGATCTTACGTCATCGCAGCTTTCGCGGCCAGTTTAGAGTTGTGGCTTCGTCTGCGATGACGACGGACTGATTAACAACACAAAGATATCGAACTTCTTGAAATTTGACTGTCTTGTACGATCGCTGACTGCCGCAGTATATTCCAACATTGAATCGATAATTAATAGTTAATACTCTAAACAAAGTCATATTACCATTGAGAACTATGGCTTGGCTTGGCCCTAGGCCTAGCCTGGCTTGGCCTAGCTTGCCTAGCCTGGCTACGACGAATCAATGCACTCGTGAGAAATTAGTACTGAGGCTAAATCAAATTTTGCCTTGGGTGCCCTTTTATACTTGAAATTTTGGCCTTGGTGCCTTTCCATTTGGCCTTGGTGCCTTTCAAAATCATGTCATACCGGAGGCCCTTTGGCCTTGCCCATAAAATCCCCAAATTCGAGGCCTGTAAGACAGGCCTCGGACAGTAAGAGATTTGCAGTACAGTAGATTCAATCAGTGATGGAGCCAGGATCTGCCCGACGAAGGGGCTAAAGGCCCCAACGGGGGTGGGGGTTAGTGGAGCGAATCGAGCCTCACTTGGCTGGGGCCATTGGGCCACCTATGGCCCCGGTTTGGGTCCAGGGGGGCTACACTCCCTAGAAGCCAAGGATATTTGACTAATTATGGCGAATTTTTATTACTTATTTGATAGGCATCGAGCTACTATAATATGACTTCATGTAGGCTATGTTTTCTAATGTCGAAATGAGCTTCCAAAACCAAAACATTTTGAATAAAACAAGAAACAAAGAGTATGCAATGTAACCATCTAATTTATTTTCAAATCCTCTTTCTTCAAAGTGAAATCGTACATTTTTGAAATTTTGCACGAAATCTGACAATCATGCTGTCAAGGTCTAGGTTGCTTCCCCTATCGCGATGTATTCCAAGCATCAAGCGTCATAACAGAACGCAAATTAATTTTAATTAGTCTCATTGAACTATTATTATTATTATTATTATTCTTATTCTTATGTTTCCAATTTTAATGTATTCTTATGTTACTTTTTGTCTCCTTTTTTATGTCTTGTGCTTGTGTTTGATCGATGTTTTGATGTTTTTATATTTGCCTACTTGCCTCATTTTTGTAAATATCAATTAATTCAGCCTTGTTTGCAAATTTGTATAAAGATAAAATTTAACCATATAATTTGTAAAAATACAATTTTTAATGTTTTTAATCTGTGATGTTTGTGTATTACTGTAATTAATAATTAATCCTTTGATATTTTTATATTACTCTCCTTCGATTATTTTTATTATAATTCTGTTCTATATTATTGTATCATTCAATTCAGTCGACTGCGATTTTGATATTGAATAAAATGAAATGAAATGAAAAAATGAAATATTATTATTATTATTATTATTATTAATATTGTTATTATTATTATTATTTTATGGCGCCACCACTGAATTTAATAATCTGCTGTATCCCTTGCTATAACAATTTCGATAGGTGATGATGATAGGTAACTATATATACATAATGAAAACGTTAACACAATTATTTACATATAATCTTTTAGACGTAAATGCATTATATATAAATAATGGGTGATCTATTAAATTATATGTTAAATAATGAATTATAAATAAATAAATGTGTTAAATAATAAATTTACACTTGGCGCCTCATACCTGCGGTGGGAATCTAAACAGTCAATATATATAAACTATTGTAGTTGAGAATGGTTCTTTCCAATCTGAGGCAGTTTTATTGCTACCCTGAAACTGGAAAATTTGGAATTGTCTAGAAATTTAATAAGTGAGGAATCACTTATATTTATATGAATAATACAAAAAGCAAGATAGTGATAAGTAAATTAAGATTACTCCTACCTGATACTGTATGATTCTGATTACTTTTGTTGGAAATAACTGTTCTGATGGGTAAAGCTGACACGAGAGCTAATCTTCTAAAGACTCCAAAAGCAGGTATAACAGTTTTTATACTAGATTTGAGACTGTTTCCTGATTAGTTGAATATAAAGAGTTGAAGTATTGTAAGTCAATCATGACGTCATCCCTGCAACTTCCAATGTTATTTGCCTATCCCCAACAGTGCACTATTTTTAGTTCCTATGCATGTAATGCAATAGGAACTATTGTATTCACTTTTTTGCTTGTGTGTGTGTGTAGACATCTTCAAGAAAATCTTTCCAACATTTTGTTTTACTGACAGTGACATGCCTAATGGTACACTTAGGACTAAATAGCCATCTATCACTTTATTCCTATTGAACTCAATCTTGTCAGACTGGCCCACATTGCCCTTGTAGAAAAAATCAAGGTGTCCAATAGACCGGGAGCTCAGAAAATATAATCCCAAGGGACCCATGGGGGTAGAATGCTGAAACACCGATGACAGCAATTTTTTCATGTACGTGACCCTAAACAGTGATATTAAAGGCCACGCTCAAATATATTTAATCATGTGAAGAGAGACACGAATGAATTTTTTTTTATTGGAACTTATTGGGTAACATAAATACCAATGACAGCAACTTTATCCTGTACATAAGCCCAGACAGCAGCCCCAAGGGACCCACGGGGGTCTTATATAGTAGCAACATGATAAAATCATGCAAAGAGAGACATGAATGAAACCAACTAGGAATTACTACTTGTACATTGTAGAATGCTGAAACACCGATGACAGCAATTTTTTCATGTACGTGACCCTAAACAGTGACATTAAAGGCCACGCCCAAATGTACATTAATCATGTGAAGAGAGACACGGATAATTTTTTTTTTAATGTTACTATTATACATTGGGGGTAACATAAATACAAATGACAGCAACTTTATCCTGTACATAAGCCCAGACAGCAGCCCTAGGTTCCCAAATGGACTTACTGTATTATTTATAGTATGATATGGTCGAATCTAATAATGATTAGAGATAGTAGAATGCAACTGAAACACCTGATTATGACACAGACAGTGGTTCTGAAGATCAACTTCAGAATAAAACAGGAATTTAGTGAAGGATTGGACCACTTACACTGGAACTTTTAAACATTGGAAAGAAAATCCATTTGACAGCAACTATTTACTACTTCAGCTATAGATTTCCATTTAATAATAAAATTTTGTTAAACACTGACTTCAGATGAAATAAAACAATACCATAATACAAACTCAATAACAATATTTATTAGATCGGATTAAACTACAGAACATGAATTGTCTATACGTGATAAATGGTACAGCGTCAAGGTGTATTTCAATCAGATTGTTGAAAATATGTAAACATAGGATTAGAATCTAGTAGCACTTTATTGACTAACATTATAAAATGTATTAACTTTTGACAGCAGTTTCTTCTGGGTTACAGATGTAACAGCATTATATTATAGTTAAGTCAATAAAGCGATACCAGTTTTGAATTTAACATTGCTTCTACTATTACAACAAATGTGTCCACCATATGGATTATGGATTCATTGAAATCAAGTATCTATATGATTTTTTATATATTGCATGCACAATTGAACTGCGGTATTGTACACTGCGGTAACCATGTGTTTGTAGCAGTACGATACAAAGCACAAGCAAGAAACACTTAACTAATAGATAAACTATCCCCCGCCGGACACCATCCCGGTGTATCTGAGTCTAGGTTTCGGGGCTAGAATTTATGGAAATATTTCCATTTTGTCTTGCCTCTTCACATGATTAATGTGAATGTGGTCGAAAATCACTATTTTGGATAATAAAAACTCACTCCCCATGAATTGTTGAAGTTAAACCACCACATAAATTTGACCCTACCTTATTTTTTTTTTTATGTATCATGCATAAACATTGACGCCTGCAAGGTTTCATACAGTGCATGGTTGCCTTTTTTTTTGGTTTGTGTGTGGAAAAGGTTAAAACAATGAAAAGATACCACTTCATTCATCAACAATTTTTCAAACAAAAATAAATTTAAATGCCATATATAAATAAAATTAATATAACTTTGAATTAACTCATATATAACCAGAAAACTTGTCATATCTTTCAATAACTTATTGAAAGATTTGATAAGTTATATGGTTATCAAAAAAATCTGATTTATTTACTACTTCATAAACTTGCTGCCAGAAATATTTGGGCTATTGGAAGACTAGTATACACATTTAATTAATAATTAAATGTTATAATTTTCACCTGAAAGCCAAACACATTGAAATAATAAAAAACTAAACATTAGAGTTGTCATACCTGAACTGCAGATGTTTTCAATACTATAATAATAATAATATTTATAGTATTTGAACTTTTAGATCAGTGGCACACTTTTAAGAAAACTAAAGAGCATTTGAAACACAAAATGTAAGACAAATGACTACATGATACATCAAATTACTAACTCATCACAAATAAAACTAAACAAAACTTTACCAATCATTTTCAGAAAAAACTTGTCAAAGATATTTTCATACTTTATTCTTGCAACGATAAACAACCTAAAATATGATGTATTTTTAGGTCATCATTTGTAATAATACTCTTTTTTTGTTTTTTGTGGTTATTATATGAATTGATTAATAGATAATATTTACTTATTTATTTCATTTCATTT